ACTGCACCTCTCACCTGCTGGGCGGCCTAATTCTCTTGTCCTCTCAGGCCTCGTTGGGAAAGGAAGCAGGCCTGGTCTTCCTCTCACACTTCCTCCTCCTGCTCTCAGTGCAGGTGGAACCCTACAGGGAAATAATGCCTGTGGTGCCATCACTCCTTACCACCCTCCACGCTAACCCCTCCTCCGGTCGAGAAGAGCTGGACGACTAGGGAATTCTCACAGCATCTCGCCTCTCCGTCGAACAGACTCTAAAGAGCAGTATGATCAACGGTTCCCATCTGCACAGCTCCCAGCATGATCGTGACTTTTCCATGCATTATTCTCTTTAAGTATGTTTTTATTGATTTCAAAGAGAGGAAAGGAGAGGGAGGGAGAGAAACATCAATGATGAGAGAGAATAATCGATTGGCTGCCTCCTGCAGTCCCCCTACTGGGGATCGAGCCTGCAACCCAGGCATTTGTCCTGACCAGAATCAAACCATGACCTCCAGATTCAGGGGCCGATGCTCAACCCCTGAGCCACACCGGCTGAGCTTCCATGCATTATTGCTTTCAGTCCTCCTGTCAGCCGGGGAAGGTAGGGTAGAGGTGGAATGACTTACCCAAATTCATCAGCTAGTCCAAAAGTAGAGCCAGGAAGTCCAGCCGTGACTCATAGTTCAGTGCTCTTTCTGCGCCTGGCACTGCCAGCCGCCCTGGGGGCTGGCACCTCCACCCCTCTGAGTGAGCTCTCTCCTATACAGCGCAGCCTCTGTGGCATGCCCTTGGCCTTGGCCAAGCTCTTTGGTTCCTATCAGGCCAAATTGGACCCTTCAGCATAGCATTCAAGACCTGCTGTGTCCCCTTTGCCAAGCTTGCTCTTCCTCCCCCGTGCTCTATGACATCCTCCCCATCCTCACACCGCACCTGCCCATTCACACACACTATAGCACAAAGGTAAAGAGCTGTACTAGACAAGTCTCCTCACCGAGCCTCAGTCTTCTTGCTTGCAGAATGGGGTTTTTGGGATGGTGGAATAGACATGAGGCTTAGCATGTAGCATGGGCCTCATCGCTGTGAGCTGCAGGCAGTACTGGCTGTGCTTCTCGGTGCCTCTCAAAGCTCTTCCACCTCTGTCCCCAGGTGCCCGCTGCCATTGTCGATAGTCTCTCTCACCTGACCTCTAGCAACCCTAAGGGCTGTCAGAAAACCCAGGGGTTTTCTGGGGTGTGGGGAGGGCGGAGGAGGAAGTCTGGTGGGTGGAACTCAAAGGGATGTGGGGATGGGGACTCTGATTGCTTTTTACACATTGGGGTGCTACCTTATAATTCTGTCTGTAAAAGGGATTTCTTTGCTAATGGAGTCTGAAAACTGCTGACTTCAGCCAGCCACCCTTTCCACCCCAAGAAAGCCCTTGATGGACTTGAGGTCACACTGAGAGTCAGTGACAGGTTTGGACCTGGCCCCTGGTCCCCACCACTTGCAGCTCTCAATCCTCTCAGACCTGGTAGGAGGGAGCCCTAGATAGCAGGATTAGGCCATCTACGCTTCCCCTCAGCCCACAGCACTGATCCCAAGACCCCATGCACAGCAGATAGGTGCCAGCCAGGCAAGAGAACAAGTCATAGAGAGATCTAGGGTCACCCACTGGCCGTTATCCTTAGGTGAGTCCCCGTACCTCTCAGCCTCAGCTTCTTTCTGTGCAAAGGGGCTGCTCTAGGTCCCAGAAGGGGCAGAGCTTGGAACACAGTTGGTTCCCTGCAAATGGGAGCCCTCTCCATCTGCACCCTCCTCCTCAATCAATACGTGCTCCATTGATGGATGACGGTGACAGTGATGAATTAGAGGCGATCATGGAGCCCTGCCTCCTTCTTGTGCAGATGAAGAAACAGAACCCAGAGCCAGGAAGGCACTTGCCCAGGTGGGACAGCGAGTGAGTCTGGGCCCGACACGGACATTTAGCGGTGTGACCAGACAGAGAAGTTGGGGGCCAGGGGTGGGAAGAAAGCTGCTGAGGAAGGGGTGACGGGAACAGGTGGGGGAAAAGGACAGAGGAGGGTGGAAACCTACAGCACCCCATCCTCCCCCGCTCCCTCCAGCAGAGAGGTTGACCGAGAAAGCCTGGGCAGCTGTTTGCTCAGAAAAGCATCTTTGTCATTAAGGGCTGTGGTGGGGAAAGTCCTCTCTCCAGTCACGTCTTGGAAATCTGGATGGAGCTGGACGCAGCCGGCAGCCCGGTGAGTTGCTGCTTGTCCTCTGGGGACCAGACTTTCTCCACTGCCTCTCCACGCATACCGACGCCAACTGAACTTTGCTTACAGCCTAGAACCTTCTTCCTCATCCCCTCAGCCCCTGGGAAGACTTCCCTGTGTCTCCACTTTAAAAAGTTGGCCTGACCTCCATCACACATGAACCTGCGGGAGAAACAGGCCTCTGTGCCCTACAAAAGTCCCTCCTGAGATCTAACTCCGATCCCTCTTGCTGCAACCACAGTCTGCCTCCTCCGCCTGCCTTTGGTGGGCTGGTCTGGAGATGGAGTTGGGAAAGGTGATGAGAGACCCGCTCCCCACACTGAGGCTTCCTCACAAGGAGAGGAAGGGACTTTGTAGTCCCCCAAATGGGAAGGGAGGTGTGGGGTCCAAAGGTGACGCTGAGCTTGAGGGTCAGATTTCCCAGAACAGACCCAATTTCAGGACCACCTGGGTTCAACCGCCATTTCTGCCACAGAGGTCGAGCCTCAAAAAGACCCTGATGCTGAAACCGGTTTGGCTCAGTGGATAGAGCGTCGGCCTGCGGACGGAAAGGTCCCAGGTTCCATTCCGGTCAAGGGCATGTGCCTTGGTTGTAGGCACATCCCCAGTAAGGGGTGTGTAGAAGGCAGCTGGACGATGTCTCTCTCTCACCGATGTTTCTAGCTCTCTCTCCCTTCCTCTCTGTAAAAAATCAATAAAACATATCTTTAAAAAAAGAAAAAGAAAAAAGACCCTAAGACACCCCCAGATTCCTTGCAACTGTTTTCCTTTCCACTATTCAGGTCCCCAGACCCTAGTCCCACTGCCATGAACCCTGTGTGATGAGGCCCAGACTCAGGGAGAGCAGTGCCGTACATTCAGGGATGCTAGCTAGCTTCAGCTCATAGGGAGAGGATGGGTTAGCTAGCGAGGCACCCCACCCACAGTCCCCTTCTCTCGTCCCCATTCCCCCCCCCCCCCCCCCCAACAATGAACGCTCGGGACTCTGGTCCTTGATGCCCCTGGAACCCCGGGAGAGATTCAGATCAGACCCCAGAAGGCACGCCCTGCTATGCAGAGGGAAAGGGTGAAGGGGTGTGCACAGGTTGCCAAGCCCAGCTTGGGGACCCCTCGGTCCCTGAGGCTCCCTCTCTGAGCGCTGACAGCTCTGCTGGCCTCCCTCCCCCACTGGCGCTCAGCAGATCAATGCCGCCTTTGCTGACAGCTGAGAATCGAGCTCGCCTTCCCGCCCCCTCTCCTGCCCCTCCCGCGGGCTGCTCTGTCCCCCGGGATCCTCCGGAGGAACGGGAAGAGTGTGCTGCGGAGGAGCTTCACCCTGGGGCAGGGCCTGCGGAGGGAGGGAGGGAGCGGCCGGTGTGGCCCCAACTTTCGGCAGGGGAAAGAGGGCAGGAGGAGAGGAAACCCAAATCATCCAAATCACCGCTCTGTGCTGGGCGAGGGGGGACGAGAATGAAAGGTCCGTCCCCCATCACCAGCCAGAGAGAGGAGGCCGGGCTCCAAGAACTTGCCGCCAGAGAGGCCGTGGGTAGTGGACAGACTCCCGGTTTCTGGATGGGCCTGTGGGCCTCTGGGGGGCTGGCTCAGAGTTCCCCTGCTAGCATCCCTGAGTCCTGACCTGTGGTCCAGTCAACTAAGCTGTTCAGACTGAGCCCGCATCAGAGGAGACCCTTCCTCCGGCTGGGTGGCCTGCCTGGGGCGCTTCCCATCCTGAAGAAGGAGGGGGAGGTGGGTGGGAGGGGAACGGAGTCCCACTGGGCCGCACACACTGAGCCCGGCAGGCAGCGCTTGGGCATCGGACCTTGCAGGTCGGAGCTGCTCACTCAGCCACACGCTCAGCGCACACTTTCCACACCGCGCCCAAGGGGTGAAGGGCACAGCCCGGGGGGGGACAGCTAACGGCTCACACTGTCCATGCCCAGGCGGCCGGACTCTGCACACCCATCATCTGCACACCCATCTGCACCGGACCCACCGCACCCACCGCCCACGCCTCCAACCCACTCAGTTCCACCGCCTGGCAGACCCACAGCCACCCACTCCGCACCGACAGCGAACACTTCTGTGCCTGCTCACACCCAAACTCCGCTCGGCACGTGTGCCACCCGCGGCCGCGGCCGAACTCCACGCTCCCCGCCCGCTCCGCTGCCCGCGGTCACCCCGGGGGCGCTCAGCCCGGCCTCCGGGTCCACGCGGCCCCTCGCCGCCCGCACGCCCCCGGCCCAGGCCGGCCTCGCGGAACCGCGCGCTGCCCCCGGGGCCGCCGCCACGCGGCCGGGTCCAGGCATCGCCCGGGCGGCCCCGCGGCCGCTGCGCCCCGGCCCGCGGCCTCCGGCCTCCGCCGCGCGTCCCCTCCCTCCGCCCCGCGGGCCGGCGCGCTCGCTCCCTCCCGATTTGGGAAGGCGGCCGCGGGGCGGGCGGGGGCGGCGGGGGAGGGGCGGGGCGGCGAGGGTGACATGTGAGCAGCGCGCCCGGGCAGGTGGAAAGGCGAGCGGCATGGAGCGCGTAATAAGAGAGTTGGAGTCGGAAAGAGCCGCCCCAGTCGCCGGGGAAGCGGGCGGTCAGCGCGGGTTCCGGCGGCCCCCAGCCTCCGAGCGCCCGCCCCCGGCCCCGGCGAGGCCCCTGCCCGGACCCTAGCCCCCCGCTGCCTGCGCCCTCCCCGGGCCGCCGCGCCGGCCTCGGGTCCGAGCCATGTGCCGCTAAGCGCCGCCGCGCGCGCCCCCGCCCTGACCGGCCCCGGCCCCGGCCCCGGCCCCCCGTCCGGCGCCTCCCATGGCCGAGGCCCCCCCGCGCCGCCTCGGCCTGGCCCCCCCGCCCGGGGACGCCCCCCGCGCCGAGCTGGTGGCTCTCACGGCCGTGCAGAGCGAGCAGGGCGAGGCGGGCGGGGGCGGCTCCCCGCGCCGCCTGGGCCTCCTGGGCAGCCCCCTGCCTCCGGGGGCGCCCCTCCCGGGGCCGGGCTCCGGCTCGGGCTCCGCCTGCGGCCAGCGCTCCTCGGCCTCCCAGAAGCGCTACCGCCGCCTGCAGAACTGGGTCTACAACGTGCTGGAGCGACCCCGCGGCTGGGCCTTCGTCTACCACGTCTTCATGTGAGTTTGCCGACCCGCGCCCCCTGCCTCGCCCCGCGCTCCCGCTCCACCCGGGAGCCTGAACTCCCCCAGATCCGCCGCCGCCGCCGCCGGACCCTGGCTCCGCCTTCTGTCCCCAGCCCCCACGGCCGACCCTCCTGTTCACCCCGTCCCCCAGGCCTGAGCTCCATGGCTGATTTCCCCCCAGCCTGACCCTAACTCCCAGTCCCCAAGCCTTGATCCCAACTTCAACTCGCTTCTGACCTCTCCCACGGCAACTCCTTAGTTCCCTCTTGACCTCCACCCCCTGCTCCTCGGTCCCAGGTGCTCCCACACGCAGTGTCTTGTCCGTCATCCTCTCTGCAATCTGGAGCCACTACAGTGGGGCTCCCCTTTCCCCCGTCCTCACCTCTGTCCCCGCGTCCCAGACACAAAGAGGGCCCTTGGGCCCCCACACGCTGTCTGTCAGCGTCCCCCCAGCTCTGTCATGACACCGGACTCCCACCTGGGCTCCGCTGGGCGATACCCCTCCCCAGGGAAGGTGTCCACCCTATCCCAGGGCCGGCTCCCGATTATAGGTGTTTGGGGGTCCCGGTGAGCCCCCCAGTCTTGACGCTCATGTGTGCTGTCTGACTCATCTGAGTCTTCACTCAGTCTCCCCCCGACCCTCAACTTTACAGCAGCAGCAGCAGCAGCAGGCTGCCCTGTCTGCCTGCGGCCTGGCTGGCCAGCCTGCCCGGCTCCCTGGCCGCTGCACCAGGCCTGGCTCTGGGCACCCTAGGGGAAAAAGAAAGAGGAGAGGGGTAGGTTTGGAAACACTGACGCTGTGCCTCCCTCCTCCCCCCCTCACCAGCTCCTACAACTCTCAAAAACACTGAGCCCTCTTGGATATAAAGAGTGAATTTTGGCAGCTCAGAGCGCAGTCTTGGGGGACGGCCTGTCTGGCCGGGAACATGAGAGGCCCCACCGATATCAGTTGAAGGGCCAGGCCTGGCTCTGGGACGCTGGGAGGTGCCGGAGAGAGACCTCCGGTTCCTGGAAAATGTGCTGCTGTTAATCCCTTCTTCCTGCCCCCAGAGAGGACCTGTTGGCCTTGGGGGTCTCCTGAGTGGTCTCCTTGCCTGACTTCCGTGCTTCTGACAGTGCTGCCTGCCTGGCTGTCCCTCTGCCAGACGGAGTTTCCACCTGTGTGCAAATCGGCCTGTCCATTTGTCTCTCCACCTAATTGTGCGGTCGTCCTTGTCTTTGCCGGTGTTCCTCCCTCTGCTGACCTGTCCAGTTACCTATGTGCTGTCTGCCCATCTGTCTATCTGAGTGTCCACTGGATTATCTCCTTCTTCTACTTGTCTGTTCCCATCATCTTTTGCTCTGTCTGCCTTCCTGTCCCTGCTTGTTGCCTCTGCCCAGTCCGAACTGGGCTCACAGAATTTCAAAGGTGGAGGGGAGAAATGCTGGCAAAGGAGGCCCTGTCCACAAGGAGGGTAGAGGAAGCTAACCCTCAGCCAATAGGCTCCTGGGTTGGCAGCCTTGGCTTCATGCAGCGACCCCTGCTAGGCGAGGCTAGGGGAGGAGAGTGAAGACTGCGGAGGACCTGAGGTTAGTCTCGGGGTCAGGGTCACAGTTAGGAGTAGCCTGACCCCCAACGCCCACCGAGGGCCTAGGATGAAGATCTTTGCTGCTGAGAGAGCCGTGGGAGTGACGGAGGTTCTGTGCTGGGATACGAGAGATGGTGGGGTTGGGGGTGAGGGGCAGGGACTGCCGGTAAGAGTGGCTGCTTTCTGGTGCCCTTGCCCACACTGCAGCCTGGGATGCCCAAGCAAGGTGGGATACTCCACGGGGAGCAGCTGCGCCCTCCGTGGGATCCTCTTGGGAATCCCACAGGGATCGAGGGGGGGTCCTTAGTCTCCAGGCCTTGTCTCTCAGCCCTCACAAGGATCACTGAAGGCGGAGGAGCCGCCTCACGTCCCCCAGCCAGCCGCCGTCTTCACCTCCTCTGGAAGGGCCTCTGCTTCCTCTCTAGGAGCTAAATCCGCTGGTACCTTTGCCCCACATCCTGCCTTACTGGATGCCAGGAATGCCCTGGCCAGGGGCATGCTTGTTCTGTCCACTTGTCTCCAGGAGCCCAGAGCTGAGACATCTCTTAGGAGTTCTGGGGGACCGAATGCGCCGGGATCTCAGGGGATTGGTCACTCGTCTTAGAGATCAAGGGCGTTGGGGGATCAGGAGCCCCACCTCTTCTTGTGTGCTGTGTGATCTTGGGTGGATCACTGGGCCTCTCTGAGCTTTAGAACTCTAGACCATCAAAGCAGGTAGCAACCCCAGCCTTTGGCCTCCCTCTGGGATGAGGGAATGGGTGGGAAAGGGCCGGATGAGCTGCAAGGGCCTGTTGGAGCCGGAGGGATGGATGTTCTTCAGGAGCTTCAGAGGTTGGGTTTCTCGGTCGCTCATGGCTGGGTCTTGGGTGAGCCAGGAAGTGCTTCCTGCTGTTGGACTTTAGTCCTACAGGGGCACTTTTGCTCAAATCCTCCCCCCTTCCCCAGGGACCCTCAGAGGCAGCCCAAGTGAGGGGAGTCCAGTGAGCACAGCTAGCTGACCCCCTTCCAGAGCCTCTGGCCCTGGTAGGAGGGGCCCAACAGAAAAGCCTGGAAGAGAAGGGCGGAGGAAGGAGGGATGAGATGGGTCCATTCACCCCAGGAGACACCTCCCTCACACCTGCTAGCCAGGCCCCACGGGGCCCCCACAGACCTGCAGCTTTTCTGGCACCGAGGCGTGGGAGATTGCCCAGGGGACAAGTCCCGAGTCCACCTCTCCTCCCAGCAGCTGCGGCTCTGGGAAGTGGGAACCACTGACTCCCGTCTCCTCCGTAGTGAGGTCTAGAATGAGGGATTGCCGGCCCCGCTCCGAGCTCTTCCTCCTCTCGGCAGGCCCTTCGTCTTGTCCCCTGCCTCCTCCCTGTGCCCCTGGCCCCTGATGTAAGCCCTCAGCCCTTCCCAGGCCCTCTTTCTCTCTGAATTCTGAGCAATAGCACATCACTGCCCACGCTGCTTTCCACGCCTTCGGAGGCATGCTCACCTTGCTGCACCCTGGCAAGGGCCAGCTTGCCTTCCCTTTGGAAGTCAGAGGCTGACAGGGGCTGGGATGGAGCGCAGCCCCCGCGCCCTGTCTTCCTCGAGCCCCTGTGAGACTCTGCTGCTCCCAGCCCCCAGCGGCCCAGCAGTCTTCCTCTATGTGAAGGTTTACGCTCTGTAAACATCCTCCGGCAGCCTTGTCCCTGGGGTCAAAAGCTGTGGGAATGGGGAGGAGAGGAGGTGGTGGCTGCTCGTGGGCCCTCGGGCTCCTAATCCCGGCCCACCAAAGCTCCCCTGGACCGTGGGCAGAGGCCCATCACCTGGGTTGGAAATAATCCCAGCCAAGGTACCCACCGCCCGCAGGCATCCCTGCCAGGTGGGCCCTCACGGGTGACAGCCCCATTTTGCCAGAGAAAAACTGAGGCTCTGGAGATCACAGGAAAGTAGTGGCAGTGACAGGACCAGACCCCAAAACTCCTGACTCCCTGTCCGGGACCTGCCCTCTCCCTGCCGCCACCTGGGTTGGCTCTTGAAGTTTGGCCTGCAGTCTCTGATGGCACATAGAGCGTGGGCCCTGTGCTAGGCACCATGCTGAGTGCTCTCTGTAGATCGAGCACGCGTCCTTCCGTCCTTCCTTCTGCAGGGCTGAGGCGGGTGCAGTCACCCTCCTTATTTGCAGGCGAGGAAACTGAGGCTCGGGAGAAGTCCCCCAGGGCACTTGACAGAGGCCGGCACAGAGCTGGGGGCTGACCAGGAGCCGTCTTTCTCCTGCACCTCAGTTTCAGCAGCACCCCACCTCCAGGCTCCTCAGGAACAGCACTCCTGGGTCATCCGTCCTTCCGTCCCCAGCACCCAGTGACAGGAGGCCGGTAGTGGCAGGATTTTGTGGAATTGAGTGGAAACTGCCCAGCCCACCCAATGCAATCACGCTTTTGCCATGCAAGGCATTGCACACGCACATATCTCTCCAACACACCCGTCCATCTGTCTCATGCACCACAACGTGGACACGCATATCCGTGAATATCACTCACGAACACCCCGAAATCTAATGCACGGATGCTCCTACGTTTTCACGGACTGCACACACACATACTTGGGTCTGTGGCTGTAGCCTCGACTTTTAGGACAGAACAGAGTGGGCCCATTCCTCGGGTATGTTGCCTTCACCTGTCCACACCACAGGGTTGCCCGGAGCCACCTGGGTTGGCTCTTGAAGTTTGAACTGCAATCTCTGATGGAGTGCGGAGCACCGAGCTAAGTGCTTTCAATCAACCACTTCCTGTGTCCTTCAGCAGGGCTGAGGTGGGCATGGCTATCCTCACCTTGCGGGTCTGTGTATGCGTCCACTTCAGACCGTGTGGCAAGGCGGCTGGCTTCCTAGAACTTTGCTGGTCTTTGCTCCTTTCTACGGGCTTGCAGAGAGCCTTCTGTCCAGCCCTGTGGTGGGCTGGTGCTGTGTCCAGGCACAGAGAGGGGCAGATCCTTAGCGAAGGTCACACTTGGTGGTCAGGGTGGAACTGTGTGAGGAACCCAGGCCTTCTGCCGCCCAGATCGGGACTTTTGATAATATGCTTTCTCACCCCAATCCATGGAGACTGTCGCTCCAAGAACCCGGCCTTGTGATGGGGAAAGTCTCAGCGTGGGACCCAAACTTCAGTTTTGTGCTGCTGTTTTTCAGCCCCTGACCTTCTGTTTGGTCTTTGTAAGAAAGCCTGCTTTCTAGCCTTTTCCCTCTCCCTTACACCCCTTTGCTCTCCCCTTCCTGGGTTCTAATTTGGGGATCACTGGAGCAGGTCAGACTTCTCATCGTGGGTCACCCCACCCCAGCTCCATAGAACATTCATTCTGTCCATTGGGGAAGCCCTGCTGGTGTCTGACCTCAGTCCCTATTGCTGCAGAAGCCTCTGCTCTCAGAAGGCTGGGGCCAGGAATGTTTCAGGACGTGATTCT